AATATCCCCATTTTACAGTTCAGGGAACAGAGGCTGACTTCAGTGACTTGTCCAGGGGCTCATAGGTCTTCCTGACCCCAAACCCAACACCAAGCGGCATCCTTTTAGGAGAGATTGGATGCTTGTTAGGAAGTGCCTGGTGTGTCAAAACCAAATGTTTCCGTTTTGGTTTTTTTTTTTTTCCCCCCAAAAATAATGATGAACTACAAACACACACACACACACTCCATCATTTCATAGATGTGGGGAATTCTCTCTTCACATGCAGACTGACAACTCTTTTACAATTCACAGTCTTAAGAATGGCCTGACTGGCTAAAAGCCGCAAAGAAATCTTCTGTCCTCAGAGCAGAGAACTGGGTGCAATCGGGGGCACACAAAGTTAGGGGGAAGAAAGGATGTCCCTGTTTGCTAATGTATCCCTGTTGAGATGAACAGAGTTGAGGATGGGTCTGACTTCAAAATGATCAAACATCTCTTAGTTGTCAAACCAATGGCCTTTTCTCAATCCTCATTCTTCCTGACCAGGGATCCCTCTCTCCTCCTGGATTTCCAGGACACACCTCCCTCTCTGACTGCTCCTGCTCTGTTTCCTGCAACATTGGAGTCGGCATATGGGGTCTGCTAACCCTATTACTGTGGAGGGCAACGCCGTCCTCGCAACGCTCCAGGCTGACCACCCAGGTGTCATCCCGGACGCCTCACTCTCTCACCACATCCAACTTGTTGCCAAGGCCTGTCAAGTTTCCCTTTGCAGCATCCCTTATATTTGCTTCCTTCTCTCCTCTGACCCTGCCCGCCACCCTGGTTGCAGGCCTTCATCACCTCATGCCTGGACCAGGGCACGTTGCTGGGGGTGGGGGGCTCTGCCTGCCTCCAGTCTCTCTCCACTCCACTCTATCCTCCATTCAGCCACCACAGTGATCTTCCTAAAGTGCAGGTCTCACCATGTCCCCAGCACCCCCTGCTCAATAAACTCGGTTGCTCCAGTGACTCCAGCCTCCTGGCTGCTCCTCAAACAAGACCCTCCATCTTTAGGCTCCAGGCATTTTTTCTGACTGTCCCCCAGGTCTAGAATACTCTGCCTCCTGGCTTCCTCCAAGTCCCAACTAAAATCCCATTTCTATAGGAAGCCTTCCCAGGGCCTTTTCTTTGGAGACCATTTCCTATTTGTTTTCATATCATTGTTGGTTTGTTCTCTCCCCACTCAGACTTGGAGCTCCCTGAGGGCAGGAGCTGGCTTTTGCCTTTCGTTTTATTCCCAGAGCTCTGCACAGTAATAAACACCCTCATGGTGAGAGCCCAGGGGTTTACACGATAATGTCATAAAGACTGCTCTGGATCCCAGATCACTAGTGGGTGACTGGTTTGGCCCTACACAGTACACAGATGATGCAAGTGTTCCCTCCCTAACCTGCCTCTAAGCTCAAAAGCCAGGCCCCCAAGTTCTGAGATTGGAGAAGGAGCCCACAGGACAGCAGAGACAGAGAACTCTTGTGAAGTCGGATCTACGAAGACAGCTGAAGGAGAAGCCTGGGTCTGACACTCCCTCTGGGCTTGGAGGCCTCTCTTTGCCCTGATGCTTTTCTCATTATCTCCACTTTATAGAGATTTGCAGGACTTCCTGGGCAACTGGAGAAAAAGGCTCTAGAAATGGAGGTTGCTCTTATTGTAATTCTTTGCTAAAACTTCTTTTTCCTGGCTCCCGTGTTTATAGACCTGGCCCGGGACAATCCGTTTCTAACATCTTTAAGGTCCCCAGTTTAGATCCCACCCACACTCATCTCCTGGCCTGGACAATGGCAAAAGTAGTCCACCTGGGACACAGAGGAAGATGGTCTCTAAAGAGCTTCCTACTGCCCAGCCTCACATTCACCTCACAAGAAACTGATCCTCCCCTGGCCTGCCCCTGAACACGTGATCATCAAACACCTACTGGGAGCCCTCGAGTGCCTGCCAAAGCAGCCCGTGGCATCCAACTTTGCTGTTACCCAGAGGAACGAGGTTGATCCTTTTCTCCTTCCACAATGGCCACAAGAGACCTCCCTTCCTTTCCCCCCAACCGAAATCTTCCTGCTCCAGGATCCAGCTCCAAGGTGGCTCTCCCTAGGAAACCTTCCCTGCTTCCCTCAACATCTGTATCCACAGCTCATTCACCTCATCCTGGATTTAGGTTGGGCCTGGGCCATTTTTCATCTTAAAAGTATTTAGGGGGTCAAGTATATAACCAACAGATTTTTTCAATTATTAACAGTGATTAAGTTGTATTTTCTCAGTACTGAGAGTACATAAGATTAGATAAGATTAAGGCATGTGTCGTTCCCCCCCCCCCCCCCCCCCCCCCAGAAACTCCTTGTGTTCTTCCTAGAAACTTCCTAGTTCCTAGGAAGAGGGGAAGACACAGGGACCTGGAGCACCCAACATTACATTATAAATAAGTGCACCGGAGCATTCCCTGGGTCACTGACTTGGGAGGGAGGCTTTAGAGGGTGACAAGAAATCCAAGAGAATGAACAGGTACTTTAGGGAATCGTCCCAGTAAAGGCCCAGACAGAGGACAGCCCACCGGGTGTATTCACTTTGACCACACACATGTAATAGGATGCCGCCAACAGGTATAGAGGCCTGAGTATCAGGTAGAAGAGTCAGAGCTTTACTGAAGATGCTCAGCCAGGTGGTCCAATGGAGAGAGGTGCTGAACCAAGAGGCAGGAAGAGCCGAGTTCCAAGAGTGCCTCAAGCACTTTCTAGCTGTGTGATCATGGGCAAATCACTGAACCTGTCTGCCTCAGTTTCCTCATTTGTAAAATTGCACCCACCTTCAAGAGTTGTTACCACATGTAAAGCACATCACAAGTGCCAGTACTGACTTTTATTGGACATTGTATCAAACTAAGTCTCCTCCCTCTCTTACTTTTATGGTGATCAAGCAACCTGGCTGAATAACTTCCATCCCACTGTCTACTGAAAGGAGAATGGAAATACTGTCTCCTGCATGTGTGACCTGGGGCTGATGAGATGGCACCAATCTGTCTCTGGGTCCAGGAAATGAACTGAGTCCTTCCCTGTTTTCTGCAGAAGGGAAATTAGGGCCTAGCACAGAATCAGACACAGTTCAGCACGTTAGAGAGAGAAGAACCCTTGGAAAGGAGGAGAGGAGATCCAAATGTCTCACACGGCACACAGACCAGACCTGAAAGCCCAACCTGGGGCTCTGTCTCCCAAATCTAGTGTTCAAATGGGCTCCAAAGTAGAAACTGCCTCAAAGCCTGCCAAATGAAGACTTACCATGCTGGCTTGCCAATACTCACCAATTTGAGCCTGCCATCCAGTGATGAGAGGCTGCCAACTGAGCACTGGCCCACTGCAAAGAGGCCTGTAAGCCTTGTTGGGAAGCACCTGAACACTGCACTGGATGTTCTGCTCTAAGCTGGATTTCCTCCCTTTTCTTCTCCCTTCTTCTGCTCTCAAGTCTGGCCTTTCAAAAACCTTTGGAACTGAAAGGGCCTGTTGAGGTCATGGAGGCCAATTCCTTCATATGCTAAAGAGGAGGGGAGAACCCAGGGGTTTTTGAGGCCAAATTCTACTAAGTATGTTGTAAGAGCCTAGTCTGAAATTGCCCCTGCCCTCAAGGGCTCCCACGGTCCAGTACCCTTCATCACACCAGGGCTGAGTACAGGAGATAGCTCAGTTAGGTGTCCCTGAGAGACTGACGGCACAAAGTTGATCACCCCCATTTTACAGATGAGGAAAATGAGGCCGAGGGAAGGAATCTGTCCAAGGTTACACAGTGAGACGAAAGCTTAAGTTATTGGACCTCTGGGTTCCACTTCTGAAAACCATTTTGGCAAGGGCCCAGGACACAGTTATCAAGCTCACCAGGCTGACCCCACGCTGGCCAAATTCTCCCTATGCCTAGGCATTTTCCCGTTAGTCTCTCCAGTGGTGCACTCAGGGATACAGGGGTGAACAGGCCTGAAGCGACCCACCCTGCATTTTCTGGTCTTGATGCCTTATTCTTCCCGGCCAGCCCCTTAAAGGCCACCTCTGGCATCACCTTGTTTGTGGTTTCTGTTTGCAGAATGTTTGCAGCATCCTGGTGTCACTCTGGTGACTAGACTGTGAGCTCTGGGTCCCATCTCCACTCTGTTCTGGAAGGCTGGAATGTTGCTGTGACTAGTTATCTATGCATAGGTCACACTCCTATTCCAGGCTGGGGGCCCCAAGAGGGCCAGAAGTGCAGCCCTTTGACTGAATCCAAACGTCACAGAACAAATCCCCGTAACAAAAGGATTTGTTCCATAAAACTTGGACTCAAAGGACCGCACCCAAAGGTTCCCCCCATCCCTGATCTAGTCCAACTCCTTCACTTTACAGAGGAGGAGGACACTGACAGAGGCCCAGGGAGATCCAGCAGGCTTTGAAGCAGAGGGCGAACTCAGGTCCTCCCAACTCCAACAAGGTTGGACAGGGTGAGTACCTTACAGTGAGACTAACACTGCTTGGTCTAACATCTTGTCACTGTCCCCCCAAAACAGTTGTGCTCAGATCTTGGCTGTATGGACTGGGACCATTCAGACTAACTCAAACAGTTGGGTCAAAAGTCCAGGCAGCTTAAGGCAGCAACTCCAACTACCACAGTACCAGCATTTATATAGTATTTTGAAGCCTCATTTTGAATACCTCATTTGAGCATTGCCAGCCTTGGAGGCTGGTGCCATTATTATCATCCCCATGTCACAGATGAGGAAACCGAGGCACAGAGAGGCTAAGAGGCTTGGGGGGGGAGGCGTAAGTGCCTGAGGCCAGATTTGAACTCAGGTTTAGTGCTCTATCCACTGTGCTACCTAACTGCCTGACTCAGAGCTTCATCCCTTTTAATGGGGGAGGGGGGGGGGAATGGACTCCTTAGCAGGTTCCCCAGAGCTCAGCCCCAGAGGCCCACCCCGAGTATGGGAGGGGAGGGTCAGAAGCAGGGGTGGACGCTGGAGTGTGAGTTACCTGTGTCTGACAGGTTTCATACAGCTCTTCAGCTGTTTCGTCTCCACCTCCCAGAGAAGGTGCTTCGCTGTCGGGGGTGGCACGGGTGGCCCCGGGAGGCCCAGCCCCTTGGTCCGGGCTGCCGAGGTCTCCTTCAGCACCACCGTATAGTTCTTGCCCTGGTTGTTGGCCCAGTAGGTGGCTTCGGGTGTCTGGTAGCGCACCACGAAGTCGATGCGGGCACCGTCCTGGACCTGGGCGCCCACGCTGGCAGGCTCGAAGGGCAGCTGGAAGGCGAAGCGGTCTGTCTGCCCCCCGTCCTCGGGGGAACTGCTCCCTCCGGGCACGTAGTGGGCCGGGTGGTCGCGAAAGGTCAGCCAGCCGTCGTGGGTGGCGCGCACGTGCACGGCCTTGTGGTAGGAGAGGTTGAGGACCCGGATGAGGCCGCGCAACACGGGCGCTCGGCCCGGAGCCCCAGGATCCTCGGGGGGCAGCAGGTCCTCCAGCTCCACCATGGAGCCGCGCAGGCGCTCTAGCCGGCCCGGGGCCGGAGGCAGCACGAAGCCGGGCAGCAGATAGAAGGGGGGCCCAGGCCCCGCTCCGGGGGGGCTCCCGCTCAGGCCCAGTTCGACTGGGGACTCGTCTGCCGCGCTGTCGTCGTCGTCATCGTCGTCGGGCCCTCCCCCGAGCCCCGCGCAGCCCCAAGGCTGGTAGCGCCTCAGCTGGGCCAGGGGCAGCCCCAGGGCCTCGTCCGCGAAAAGCACGCGCCGGGGCCCTCCCGAGGGGCGCCGCCCCGGCCCCGGCCCCGGCCCCGGCCCGCCCAGCTGCTCCTCCGTGGCCGCGGTGGCGGGAGGCGGCCCAGGCTCCGGGGCCTCTCCCCGAGGGGCCGCTCGGGCCATGGCGTTGGTGGGGCCAGACACAGAGCCGAGGCGGGGCCTGCGCCGCGCCCAAGGCCACTCGGACCTTCGACGAGCCCGAGCCGGAGCCGGAGCCGGAGCCGGAGCCGGAGCCCGAGGCTGCCGGGGAAGCGCAGGCGACAGGAAGGCGCGGCCAATGGCAGGCAACCGAGGGCGGGCGACTAAAGACAGCGACCAATCGGGAGACGGCGAGCGCGAAGGCGGGAGTGGGGGGGGCGGTGTGGGGCGCGCTGGGGCTGACGGAACAGGGCACGCGACCAATGAGAGAAAGCAGCGCGAGGAGACGGACTGAGGGAGGGGGCTGCACCTCGGG